CTCTCTTCCTCTTCCCCTGAGCTCCAGCCACCCCAGCCTGGCTGTTGTTGCATTTTTATAGTTGTAAATTGGGTGATTTGTGGGAGAGAGTGATGCTGGGGACCATCTATTCTGCCATCTTGACTGGAACTCCTGATTTAAATTTTTTTTAGATAGAAATTGTAGGCGCTATGGGGCTAGATCTCTTGAATTCTAGGGGTTATGGTGTGCATAACTATATTTACTTAACAGTGAGATTGGTAGATACCCATATACCAGAGTTTTTGAACATTGTTTGAAGGTATGTGTGGATTTAATTTATGCAAAACGAATCTTTAGAAATCTATTTAACTGGCCACTTTTGTCTCCTATTCAAAGAAGAGGATGATTTCTCACTGAGAATTTTTTGATATAAGATTATAAGATGATATACCTGAATTATCTTTTTTCTGAGAATTTTAGCTTTTTGCCACCAATTATTTTGGTGTTTAGAGGAATAGCATTCTTTCCCGCCTCCTGGATGATGACATGTGGAAACTCACTCATCTGACAGATATTTATGATGCCCCTGTGTGCCCAGCGCTGTGCTGGGAGCAGGGGATGGAGCAGTGAGGGAGGGGACGTCCCTGGCCTCACAGAGCTTACATTCTAGTTGGGGGAGAAGATAATAAGTAAAAGGTGGATGGTCAGATGGTGAAAACTAACACAGGGGAGGAAACTAGGAAATGGGACTGGTGGGAGGTTGGGAGCTGCAGTGTTAACCAGTCTGGTCAGGAAAGGTTTGTTTTCTGGATGGCATTTGAGCAGGCACCTAGAGAACGAGGAGCCACAGTCATCTCTAGATGGAACTGGTCAGAGCAAGGAGCAACAGCAAAGGCCAAACACGGGACAGCAGGGAGGCAGCATGACCCGGGCGGGTGGTGGTGGGCCTGGGCTTTTACCCTGTGTGAGAAAGCAAGCATCGGGGTGTTTGGGGCAGGAGAGTGACATAATCTTATGTAAGTGTAATTGGGATCATTTTGGCCACCATAAGCAGGAAAAGGACAGAACCAGAGACCACCTGGGAGGATGTTGTAATAGCCCAAGAGATGGCGGTAGCTGGGACTGGGTAGAGGGGGACAGAGCAGTGAGAAAATGTCAGGGGCTGGGGATGTTTTGAGATGAGCTCTCCCAGGACCTGTTGATAGATCAGTTGTGGAGTATGAGAAAAAGAGAGGACTCAAAGCTTAACCCCTGAAAATAACAGCAGTTGGTTCAGGTGCTTTATAATGTGGAAAGCACTTTCCCATATATATCTCCTCTGACCTGCCTGGTAAGTAGAGAAACACCGTGGGTAGTAGGTGCCACCCCAGGATCTGGCTGTTTGGCTTGCAGGTTAATACTAGTTAATGCTTGTCTACAGCGCTTAGAACTGTACTAGGTGCTGAGCGACGTAGAGGAAATAGATTCTTCCAGGTGCTTCAGATGCCATTTGAGATGTGATTAATGCAATAAACAGGAAATAGTCCAGACACAGTAAAGAGCCAAGAAAATGGGAAATTGCGTGGGATAATGGCAAATATTACTTGAATAATTCGGAGAATGGGGAGATTGTAGTGCTAGAGTCGTGGAGGAAGTTGTATTAGTTGTGGTTCTCCAGAGAAAACCACTAGGATGTGTATATGTTTCAGACAGAAATTGATTTTGATTTATTTTAAAGATTTATTTTAAATAGTTTGCTCATGTGATTGTGGGCTGCAAGTCTGAGATCTGTAGGGCAGGTCAGCAGGCTGGAGACCCCCGGGAGGTGATGTGCAGCACAGGGGATAAGGGCCTCTGGAGGCAGCATTTTTTCTTCCTCAGAGGACCTGGGTCTTCTTCCCTTAAGGCCTTCAACTGCTTGGATGAGGCCAGCCCCACACAATGGAGGGTCATCTGCTTTACTCCAAGTCTACTGATGCAAATGTCGATCTCATCTGAGATTGTCAGTCTCAACACCTTCCCAGAGATATCTAGACAGGTGTTAGACCAGATGTCTGAGTACTGCAGCCCAGCTAAGTTGTCATATAAAATTAACCATCACAGAAGTCTTAAAAAAAAAAAAAGTAGCAGTGAATGGGGCATAAAACATGTGGGTAGAATATGTGTAAATTAAGAAGGTTAGACATCCTAGTTACGGGTAAGAAGATAGGGACTGAGTCTAGTAAGTGAGTTGGATGGTATGTCAGGATCAGAATCCTAGAGGAGTAGAGTATTTTAATTTGAAGGGACTTTAGATATTACGTAGCCCAGAGGTTCCCACATTTCATTACTAAAGAGCCTTTTTATTGTTTCCCACCCTAGTGAACTCTCTGATCTAAAAGCTGTGTGTTTACTCAGTGCCAGGGCTTGGGTGAGGCCAGACAGCTGCATCCAGCACAACACGTGAGGGTCACGAAATGACCCTGAGAGATGCCTCCTAAGACCTGCGTCCTGGGTGCCTGCCCTGTCTCCCCCACCCTGTGAGGACCACACCATTGAGTCATAACAACCACACTGTGGTGTGACGGAGACATGTGACATTCAGAATTTCTAGTCAGGGCAAAATAAGCAGCGTTGCCACAACTGAGTTGATAGACTTCTAGCCAGCAGCACAGAAACTTGACATTTTAGGAATCCTGTGCAGTCTGAGGATGGGAAAATTAACCATTTCCTCTAAAGTTTTTGGACTCTGGGAGCTAGTCAAGAACCTCCCTACTGCTCCCTTCACAGCCTTCAGCATGAGGACCCCAGAGGGGAACAGTGATCTGGCCCAACCTCTTGTTTTCTAGATCAGAAAGCAGATGAAGGGAGACTCCATGGCCTGCTGCTGCACAGCCAGGCCTGGGGCCCAGATTTTCTAATCCTGAGGACTTTGCTATTGGCATGAGATGTTGGTTCTGGGATGTGGCTGGTGATTCAGTGCGGGCACCCAGGATGCAGTGGGACTGGCCAGCGCAGAAGGGGCCTTTACACCATGCCTCGGGGTGTGGATTTTGTCCTGAAATGATGGGGAGTTGTTCTAAGCAACTGTTAGATTTGTTTTAGGATGATGTCAGCTTTTGTTGTTGTAATATTCTGAACATAGGCAAAATAGATCAGCTTCGCCCTTCCTGTTCTGGTCAGCAGTCACTAGGGACTGCTGTTTTCCTGTTGGACTCTGTCCTCGCTTCAGGAGCTGTGCTCGTCCCAGAAGCCATCTGAGTTCATAACAGTGCAACTTCCCCGCCTCCCACCAATCCAACGTTTAGGCTGTTTCCAGTTTTCAGTTCTGCACATAGCCATGTTTTCATTTTAGATTGTGTTCCAAGAAGTCCAGTTATTGAAAAATGGAAGAACATATTTAAGACTTGATGCATTTTTGCTTTCACTTTGATTCACTTTGTTTATTTTTGGACAGCCAGCTGGTATAGGGGTGGAATCCTGGATCTTGGTGTTATTAGCACCATGCTCTAACCAACTGAGCTAACTGGCAAGCCCCTACTTTTTAAACTTTAAAAAAAATTTGAGCGTACTTCTAAAATTTAATTTTGATGTGAGTTGCAAAAAAATGACTCATATTTTGAAACAAATGTTCTCACGGGACGTTACTTCTAAAGAAATTAAGCACATTGAGAGTATAGCTACGTAGAACAAACTGCCCTTACATATGTGATTCTTTGTACTTTGCTTAAGTTTTGTTGGTTTCCCATTGCAATTCACATTGATAGTTGTGCTCTGGTCAGGCAGCCCCTGTATTACTGCTGTGGGCCAGGTGCTAGTCACAGTAACTGCCCGAGCACTGGAGTAGGACTGAGGACACCCAGATTTGGGATCTCAAGTATTTACTAGATATGACCTTGGATAAGTCACTTAACATCTCTGGTCTCTCTCATTTATTAAACAGGGATAATACTCCCTGCCTGGCTTTCTGCACAGGGTTCATTTGGAGTTCAGTGGAAATAAGGTGAAAGTAAAGCGTTGATCTTCACAAGGGATATCAGTATAGGGCATCTTATAAGGAGGGAGAGGTAATGGCTTAGATCTAGACTGAGAATGTGAACAGCACATGTATCTCATATTGGGTTAATAATGGAAGAGCAGTTGGGAATGTTTTTTTTCGATGTTTGCTATAGAATTTGTCTTTAGAAAAATCTGTTGCAGCCAGTCTGCCTGAATACCTGATTTTGTATATGTCATCTCAACTATAATAAAAAGTAATTTGAATGTGTTTGGTAGTAAACCTCTTCTTATATGTACGTTTATTGTTTGTTTTTATTTTTCAGTCTGTGGATTCCAGCCTTGGGGGTCTTTCACGATCCAGCACAGTGGCCAGCCTTGACACAGATTCCACCAAAAGCTCGGGTACATAAAAGGGCTGGGTCATTTATCGTCCACGGCTTTTGCTTCCTCTCCTGCCACTTTGACAAGAGTTTAGAAATGGATCAAGACTAAAAAGATAGGGTCAAGTTAAAAAAACAAAGAAAATGGACTGAGATTTGGTGGGATGTGGGTTGAGGGTGTGGTGTGGTTGGTGGAAACCAGTGCCTTGGAGGTTGGCTCTGGCCTGCGAGCAAACTGCTCTTAATGGGTCCTAGAGCAGAAGTGTTCAAGAACATCATGTGGCAAAAACTAGGAGTTTCAAAATAGCTTTGTAAGAAATGGGGTGGCAAAGGGTTAGTTATATTGGGCTTATGTTGTTTATGGGGAGTAAGACAAAAATCTTGATGATTAAAGGGTTAAGGAGCCATTTATCCTGGGGTACCCCGAGACACACTAGCTCGTCACCACCAGAAACACAGGTACTTAAGGGCAGTGTCTGTCATAGACCTTTGCAAACATTTATGCAGCCTCACAAAGTTAGTAGCTCCTTAGAAATCAAAATGTGGCTTCTAACCCAAGCTCCATAAATAGCTAGTGATTAATTAGAAATACATTCATTCTCTTGTCTAAAATCCTACTTTTCCCTTCAGGATCATAGACTAGTCAATCTATAAAAGAGAATATTGTAACAAAATCCTTTATCTTTATTTCCCGATGCCTTTAAAATATTAAAGATGTGGGCATCTTTTTATTCCATAAACATAATCTAAAAGTGTATTTTCCTTAATATGGCAGAGTCATAAATAGTTGTGGTGATTTTTACATTGGCTTAATTTTATAGCACAAAATCCAAAAGCCAAAAAACAATTAAATATCATTATGCGTTATAAAGGTACTCAGTCATTATCTAGTTGGCTCGTTTTTCCTATTTGTTTTGAAATGAAGATTATTAATCTTAATTTATTCCTATTATTGAGACCTTTATAAGTTTAGTATATTGTGAGTCACTGAGGAAAAAGTTTAGCGAAATTTTAAGTTCTTCCCCATTACATCAAAACATTTTGTATTTTAAAAATTTATAATTCTAATGACACAGCCTGTTTTTTATTTGGGAAGGGACTGATGATACCCCATAATGCAGACCTTCTTTTGAAGTCTTACTATTATCATTTTTCTTTCACCTTTAGGACAAAGCAACAATAATTCAGATACCTGTGCAGAATTTCGAATAAAATATGTTGGTGCCATTGAGAAACTGAAACTCTCTGAGGGAAAAAGTCTCGAAGGGCCACTTGACCTCATAAATTATATAGATGTTGCCCAGGTAAAAAAAATTTTTTTCAATTTAAAGCCTCTGGTTATAACAGTCTAGAGAGTCAAGTTATGGCTTTGGAGAAAGATGTGTGCTCTTCCAGGTCCACTGGATGGCACTGTCCCCACTGTCTTAGCAGAAGCCACAATTTCATCACTGTTACAAATATTTACTGTGCTCTGTGGTTGTGGATAGTGCAAGGTGCCTTGGAGATTGGGTCGCACAGAACACAGACATTTCCTTCAAACATAGTACTTTTTTACTTTTTAGAGGGCTGTCTGATCTTGTTTAAACGAGGAGCTGATTGTGGTGACTGGTTAAACCACATATAGGTTTTTCTTTTAGAACAATCTGGCAAAACCTTACTAAATCTCCATTGAAATAGTTTCATCTCTTTGAATAATCTAATTCATAGTGGTGTTGACCCAATGTGTCTATTTATTTATACCCTGTTTCCAACAAGAATTGAGGTGAGGTAGGTTTCAAAAATATATCCAGATATAAATAGATAAAAAATAAAGAAATCATCAGGAAGGAAAATTCAGAATGAAAATTAAGTCAAAGGTGTAAAGTTAGTGCATAAAATAGTATAAGGTCTATACCTCTGCCTGTGGTGGAAGCAGATGAACCAAAAGACTTACATAGTTAACAGAGTTAGTAAATTACTTCTGGAGTTTCTAGAAGACAAACTGCACATCTATGTGTTCGTTAACATAGGATATTACTACAATGGAAAGATTCTTTCCTCTGTTTAGAGAATACTAATCTTAAGAATGTACAATCTCTTAAATCATGGGGAATGGGAATATTAAATATAATGTTTCATAAAAGTAAAGGAAGTCACTTCTGTCTGAGGGAAACCAGTGAATCTAATTGCCATTAACAGAGAACTCCTGGTAGTCTGGACTAATACAATTAGTATTCCAGCATTTAGTATGGAATTACAGTTATTTCCCAACAAAGAATAAACTAACTAAAGTACCGTACTGAAAGACTACTAATGTTTCCCCTCAGAAATGCACTAGGATTATTTTAATTCTTATAAGGACTGCTAAATTTCTCATATCACCATAGAATTTTTGCTTGTTAAAATTCCATTATTGACAGTAGCATTACTATTATCCTATATTTTGATTCTTGGAATTGCTTTAAGCCTAGTGAGAAGAGATTGGCAAGAGGTTTCTATAACATTGTGAGGACCCAAGAATTAAGGTATTTGGACAAAGCTAATTTACAATTTCTTTAATGTAGGCAGATGGTTCCACAAAAACACTTACAGTGCAGACCTGATGGCCAACAATATTTATTTTAGAGAAGACAAATTAGGCAGTATTCTGATTTAGGAGATAAAACCAGATAATCTGTTAGGGAAACCATCAAGTATTATCTGCTGCTTTGTTTGTGAATAGCAAAAAATACTGATTAATGTTTTTGAGAGCCAAGTAACCATTCATCAGCAGCATTTGCCAGCCTGAAGCCCAGGGGCATGGAGACAACCAGACATATCTTACCATCTGGGTAGGATATAAAGTGACTGAGAAAAAGGGTTCCCACAACCGTGCTTCCTGATTCTTCCATGTGCTGACACTAGCAGAAGCTCTTGAGTATTTTAAAACCCAAGTAAAGACCTTTATTTTTCAAGTGTACATATTGTAATTTCACTGGGATCTACGAGGAGGATCTCAGTTTGTAATTGGTTAAAACCAACTCAGAGGAAATAGGATAATATGATAATATGCATGAAGTAGATGGATCTGAATTTTGTTCAGATTTGTGGATTGTAAACACACACACACATAGTGGGGTGGGGGGCGGCAGGGGGGGGGAAGAAAACAAAGAAAGAATAAACCAAAAAAAAAAAGGAAAAGTTTTGTTCTGCCGCTTCAGAGAGAAATTCTTGTTGGGCTAGTGTTTACCCTACATTCTTTAAAGGGTTTGGGTTTGTGATGGCCAGATACAAAAAATGACTAATCAGACTTTAGACTATAACATAATTTTAATGTATATTATGTAATTTATTTTTACATTAAAGCAAGATGGAAAGTTGCCTTTTGTTCCTCTGGAGGAAGAATTTATTATGGGAGTTTCCAAGTATGGTATAAAAGTATCAACATCAGATCAGTATGTAAGTAATATAATATAAGGAAAAAATGTGTTTTAGGTAATAGGGAATTCAGGCTGTTAAGAGCCCACTTGTAGTTAGGTCTGTTCCTGTTTGCAGAGTGGCTGGTTTGTAAACATTCCTGGCAGCTGGTCTTAAATGTGACCAATTTCTTAAGGTGAATGGGGGGCTTCCTTTTGTATCTCCTGTGTAGTTAGGGCCCATGCAATCCCTCATTGATAGCTCCTAATGCATTTTCAACTTAGCGCCCCACATCAATTGAGGGCAGCTATCAGCTTAGAAGCTGGGCATAGAGACCGGGATAGTAAGTTTAGAGCACCTTACTCCTTTCTTTCTGGGATTTAGGCAGGAAGGTGTGATCCTGAAGGCAAACTGCCCCATATCTGGGCATACTGGAATATTCCTTGGGGTGAGAAACCTATATAGCTACTTTTTTTTTTGTCTTTTTTCGTGTCCGGCAACAGATCGCAACCCTCGGTGCTGCTCCCACACCTCGCTCAGCCAGTGAGCAGGAACTGGTCTGTATGTGGGATCCGAACCCTCGGTGGGAGCGCCGCCACGCTCCCAAGCGGCGCACTGTAGCAGTGCGCCACCGGGCTGGCCCTATATAGCTACTTTTTGTCAGACCCGTAGATATGCTGTTTTAAGTCTCAGAATACATTCTGCATGGGAAATATGTCATAAGAACTGAGAAACACATAAAATAGTCATGCTTTCTGAACTTTTCCTGATTTCTGCAGGATGTTTTACATAGGCATGCTCTATATTTAATCATCCGGATGGTGTGCTATGATGATGGCCTTGGGGCAGGAAAAAGCTTACTGGCTTTGAAGACCACAGATGCAAACAATGAAGAATACAGCCTGTGGGTTTATCAATGCAACAGCCTGGTGAGATTTTAGTTACCTTGCTTAGTTTCTTATTCAAGTGAAGAGGCGTAACCTAGAAACCTGAATATTAGGTGCTAGGTTGGCCAGCTGTCCATACTTAGTGAAGGTTGTGAACTATTTCTGCTAGGCCCAGCAGCAGCAGTCGCTGTGCCTGGATTTATAGGTTTAGGGTAAACATAAAGCAGATGTATGTTGTCATCCTCCCTGACTCTGATCAGCTTTCTCACAGGCTGCAGCACGTGTGTTTATTGTGCATGTTCTTCTCTGAAGGAGGGCAGAAAGAGCCCCACATGCAGGGCAGCTCAAGGCATGTGTTCCGCTGATCTGGCAGGCATGTGTTGTCAGCTTTCCAAAACTGCTGATGTGTAGGTTTTAGGAAAGATGCTAAGAGGGTCAGGTTTATGCCTCTGTTGGTCAAATTAACTTCAGGAGGAGATTTACGAACAATGCTCTTACTGTATCTTTTCATATAATGTAGGAACAAGCACAAGCCATTTGCAAAGTTTTATCCACCGCTTTTGACTCTGTATTAACGTCTGAGAAATCTTGAATTCTGCAATCAAGTGGAAGTCAACTTCATCTGAAAGTTCAGCTGTTTTCTAAGTAGTTGTTTTCAGTCTGCAGTGTTGCATGGAACTATGAAGTGATCTCTTGCTCTAGACTTTCTGAAGAAAATGCAAATGTATAAAATATTGATCATTTGTTTTTATATTAAAGTGTATTAAACAGTGACAATTATTAATGAAGTTATTTTCTGGGATAAGAAGGAAACCTCCTAAGTCATTTCTAAATGCAAATAAGCTTAACACCTGAGTGTCACAGAAGTCCATTCAGTGAATAATAACAACATTGAGGACCTATCTGAGGAAGACTACTGAAATCTGATCTCTAGCAGCTTCCCACTTGGGGCTGTGGGCAGGCAGAGGTTTGGACTGTGGACCCAGGTTCATGCTGGTTTGGAACAGGGACACTGCCAACTTAAGACAAAGTAAATTTGCCAGAGTGTGTTTTCAAAATAACATGCTAGTAAACCACGTTTATCTCAGAGTGAAGAAAACCTTAAAAGAGTACTGCTTATGCTAAAAGTAACTAGTATTTAAAGAATCTCATGCAAGTATGCTAGTGTACTTAAAAAAAAAAGGACCATCAACACACAATACTTTAATAAAAACATTAAAAATAGAACCATGTCCATTTAAAAGTATTTTATTTTTTTCTCAGTCAAATGACTAGTTAACAGGAAGAGTAAACTTACTAAACATGCTCTAATTATAAATCACTGCATTAAGGACAATGAAAATAAGAATCAATTTAGGTTGTACAATATATACAGTTGTGCTGCAACTAGACCAAAGCAATCAAGTGATGAACTGAATATCATACATCTCAAAATAGCATTCTAAGCTGCATTTGGTTATCCCACCCCTTAGATCACACAGTATCTATTAGTCTGTGTACGTATCTCTGAGTCACGATCCTAGAAGTCAGATCTGATGAGAAATGGCATGCATAATGCCAGAATCCTGCAGCTGAAGTTCATGAAACGTAAACTTTAAATATAAATAGATATCTACAATGTTTTCTTTTCTCTTGGTTGCTTTTATTTAATTTGCAAAGAGCAAATAACTAGGAAAGGATATTAGCAGGGAAGTTAATATAATTTCTTCTATGGCAAGAGTACTATTAATTACTGCACAATAGCACCACCAAATTGTAGATTGGAAAAATATTTCCTAGATATTTATATACCAGTGAACCCGATAGATTAGTTTGGGACTGGAGTTCAAATATTGGTAAGAATCAATTTTACTCCTTATATAGCTGGCACCAGGTAGTCAAAAGGTTGACTGTAAGATACAGATGCAGGAGGATTGTTAAAATAGACATAAGAAGTGCACTGTGCAAAATACATCGTTTACTTTCTTAAATCTATAAGAAAATTAACTAAATGAAGGGTTCAAACAACAGAAATTAACAATTAGTGAAAATAGATGTAGTGCTTTAAAAAAAAGAGTTTAATTACAGATCTAACACATTTTTACCCAGAACTTTGAAAGGCAAAAAGTGATCGCTATACTATATAATAAAACATTCCAGTTTGTTCTGTCTTCTCTCTTCCTTTACAATAGAAACAAAAAGTAAAATGTTCCCCCACCCCCAAGAGCTCTACACTTATAAGAGTCTTGTATAATAAAGACAGGCTGCTCCAATCAAATGTACCATCACAGCAAATGCAATCAGTATTGTTGCCTCATTTTCCAAGCCTATAAAATTTATTCCTTTAACTTTTGTTAAAAATCCAAGTGGGCATCATATGCCTATTTATTCTCAAAGAATGCCAAAATTTCCAATATTCCTACTATGAATCTTATGCTCACAATTACTAAATAGAGGTATGACAGTCAAGTTCATTAAACTAATGTATCACATACAACCTAATCCCCCCACCCCCAAACAGCTTAAGTATATGAATGATATGATGGCCTTAAACAGTAAAACTGGGATGTTTAGGAGTATTTTATTACCTGGGACTTAGAGATTGCTGATATGCTCATGACTACAAACAAATGGACATTAAATTTCAAGATAGTATAACTACCATTCCTGTTGGGATATTATATAAATACAAGACACTAAACTGAGTAAACATTCTCATGATCTAGAAGGGGAAGCAGTGGTACACTCGGTAGGAAACAGCAAGTAACGTGTTAATATATCTGGTCTGCATCACAGTATCCCATTTGTATACAGTTGCTTTCTGTGTGATTAGCGAAGTTCATGAAGGCAAATTCCAAAACACCTAAAGCACATAAACTAGTTTAAAGAACTGTTTTGCAATCCGTTATCCTTAGTTTTTAACCAAATTCAGGAAATGCAGTTTTATGTAACCTCCTGGAACTGAGTTAACTGCTATTCCCATATGCTATAAGCATGACTGTTCACAGCAACAGGTTATAGACACACATGCAGAATATAATGGCAGCTGCAATCTCACAAATTAGGGCTAGAAAGTACAATGCTAATGTGTAAATTTCCAAGTTGCTTTAAATAGACATTGGGTGGGCCGGCCCGGTGGCGCACTGCTACAGTGCGCCGCTTGGGAAGTGCGGCAGTGCTCCCG